TGATGTGCAGTTTGGTTGAGTTCTTTCATTGGACAGGTCTTAGCACCACAGGTCCCTGAGCCTTGTGCTCCAAACTTAGCTTAGATCAGTGATGGCGAACCTTTTTGAGCCCGAGTGCCCAAACTGCAACCCAAAACCAACTTATTTCTTTCAAAGTGCCAACACTGCAATGAAACCTGAATATCGAGCTTTTGGTTTAGAAAAAACAACTCGTACAGTAGTGCAAACTAATTAACAGTACAGGGATGACCAGAGACTGCGGACAGCAGTACAGGGATGACCAGAGACTGCGGACACAGTACAGGGATGACCAGAGACTGCGGACACAGTACAGGGATGACCAGAGACTGCGGACACAGTACAGGAGATGACCAGAGACTGCGGACACAGTACAGGAGATGACCAGAGACTGCAGACACAGTACAGGGATGACCAGAGACTGCAGACACAGTACAGGGATGACCAGAGACTGCAGACACAGTACAGGGATGACCAGAGACTGCAGACACAGTACAGGGATGACCAGAGACTGCAGACACGGTACAGGAGATGACCAGAGACTGCGGACACGGTACAGGGATGACCAGAGACTGCGGACACGGTACAGGAGATGACCAGAGACTGCTGACACGGTACAGGAGATGACCAGAGACTGCGGACACGGTACAGGAGATGACCAGAGACTGCGGACACGGTACAGGAGATGACCAGAGACTGCGGACACGGTACAGGGATGACCAGAGACTGCGGACACGGTACAGGGATGACCAGAGACTGCTGACACGGTACAGGAGATGACCAGAGACTGCGGACACGGTACAGGAGATGACCAGAGACTGCGGACACAGTACAGGAGATGACCAGAGACTGCGGACACGGTACAGGAGATGACCAGAGACTGCGGACACGGTACAGGGGATGACCAGAGACTGCGGACACAGTACAGGAGATGACCAGAGACTGCGGACACAGTACAGGAGATGACCAGAGACTGCGGACACAGTACAGGAGATGACCAGAGACTGCGGACACAGTACAGGAGATGACCAGAGACTGCGGACAGTACAGGGATGACCAGAGACTGCGGACAGTACAGGGATGACCAGAGACTGCGGACAGTACAGGGATGACCAGAGACTGCGGACACAGTACAGGGATGACCAGAGACTGCGGACACAGTACAGGAGATGACCAGAGACTGCGGACACAGTACAGGGATGACCAGAGACTGCAGACACAGTACAGGGATGACCAGAGACTGCGGACAGCACAGGGATGAACAGAGACTGCGGACACAGCACAGGGATGACCAGAGACTGCGGACAGCACAGGGATGACCAGAGACTGCGGACAGCACAGGGATGACCAGAGACTGCGGACAGCACAGGGATGACCAGAGACTGCGGAAAGCACAGGGATGACCAGAGACTGCGGACAGTACAGGAGATGACTGCTGACCTTTGGGGAGGGAGGGGGAGCGGGTACCTGAATTTGACAGGTACCCGCTCTTACTTCCGCAGAGTTTTTTTTTTTATCTTACCTGTTCCTTTATCCAGCCGCGCGCTGTCTTCCCGGATTCTGTAGTGTGGGCGCTCGTCGGACAGCCGGATGCCCAGTGCACATGCGCGAGAAGCGCTGCGCTTTGTGATTGGTCCGGCGGCTTCTGGGATCTGTCATGTGTCCCAGGTACCGCCTTACCATTCACAAAGAGCACTGCTTCTTGCGCATGCGCACTTGGGACCCGGCTGTCACGCACACTACAGAAGCCGGGAAGACAGTGCGCCGCTGGATAGAGGGACAGGTACGGTCCCACTGCAGAGCTGAGCGGCCGGCCCGGTATTCTGACACGGCGGCGGTGGAAATACCGGACCGGCCGCTCTATATTCGCTCCATAAGACGCACTGACATTTTCCCCCTTTTTTTGGGGGAAAAAAAGTGCGTCTTATGGAGCGAAAAATACGGTATTCTCCTGGCGTGCCCACAGATAAGGCTCGGCGTGCCGGCTGTGGCATGTGTGCCACAGGTTCGCCATCACTGGCTTAGATGATGCACAGAGAATGCTTTTCTATATTTTTATTTTTTATATTTTTTTTTGCTCCGCATGCGTGGCAGTTGCGGCTTGGCCCCAAAGACGTGAATTGGTTGTGTGCAGCAACGGTGATGCCCATCGAATGCAACATACGGTTAAGTTTTTGTCGCTCAGCATTGCAGCTGTAGTGAGTGTGCAGCCGGAAATGGCTGGATGTCTGTGTTCAGATGGACAAAAGGAGGGCAGTAAAACCGCAGCTCAACTGCCTGGTTTTACCTCCTGCCCACTCATGTGAATGTGGCCAAACAGGCTTACAGTGCTGACATTCCCTTTCCCAGTCTGCATGCTGCTTTACAGAAGTATTAGCTACTTGCCAACTGCCTTGTTTCAGTTTTACTGCTACAGGATGGCCACTCTGTGCAGAATCGCATATATGGGATTCTGCATTTCCAGTAAGGGAGTGTGCACGTGCCATCCTACCCGCGCTGTCATTGGTTCCCAAAGATGTCAATCACTGGGTCCTGGCCAGCAATTCATGGCCGGGTCTTGGCTATCGACGGAGTAACTGACAGGATAGAGATCTGTGCATGTAAACAACACAGATCTCTGTCCTGTCAGCAGGGATGAACTGGTTTTTATTTCTCTGCAGCGAGATAAAAATCAGCACATCCCCTAGTAAAACACTGCAAAAAAATAGCCAAATCACTCCCTAACTCACACTTAAGGTGATATTAAAGGCTTAATTTGTTTTATTTTTTTTTAATTAAACACATACTTATCTGCTCTCTGCAATGGTTTTGCACAGAGCAGACCGGATCCTCCTCTTCTCAGGTCCCCCACCGGTACTCCTGGCTCCTCCCTCCTGTCGGTGCATCCGCTGCTCCGTGTGTGAATGGGCTTGGCCCTGCCCCCTCTCTCTTCTCATTGGCTTACTGACTATGATTGACAGCAGCGGGAGCCAGTGGCTCCCGCTGCTGTCTCAGCCAGTGAGCAGAGGGAGTCCTGGGGTTTACAAGAGTCCAGTGCACATCACTGGATCGAGAGGGGCTTAGGTGATTATTAGGAGGGGCTAGGGGAGCTGCTGCACAGACAATGTTTTTTTTTTTACCTTCATACATAGAATGCATGAAGGTAAAAACGCTTGAGCCTTTACAACCACTTTAATCCTTTGATCGCCCCAGATGTTAACCCCTTCCTGCCCAGTGTCCTTATTAGTGTCAGTGCTTTTAATTATTACGGATCACTGTATTAGTGTCACTGGATATGTCACTGGCAGTTAATCAGTTCCCACCCGGTGTCAGTGTCCGAATGTCCACTGTGCTATTGCAGTCCCATTATAAGTTGCTGTCATTGCTAGTATTAAAAAAAAAAATTCAAATATCTATACATAACAGAATACATTTTGGCCTAAATTTATGACAACATTTTATTTTATAAATATATATTTATATTTCATTGCAAAAATTAAAAAATATTGTTTTTTTTTTTCATTTTCAGTCTTTTTTCATTTATATAATAAAAAAACACAGTGATGATCAAATACGACCAAAAGAAAGCTCTATTTAAGTGAACAAATGGCCTGGTCATGAGGGGGGGGGGGGGGTAAATCTTATGGAGGGCAAGTGGTTAAAGTAAACTAGAATAAAGGCAGAATTATTTCAGAATTGGATCAGCCTTCATGGAGCATTTGATAGGCAATGAGGAAGCACTGACCTCCTCACCGCCTGTTTTAAAATCTTAAACCCTAGGGTCGTTGGTTCAAATCTCAACCATGACACGACCTGCCTGGAGTTAGCATGTTCTCCCTGTGCCTGCATGGGTTTCCTCCACGTACTCCGGTTTCTTCCCAAACTCCAAAGACATGCTGGTAGGTTAATTTGATCCTGTCTATATTGGCCCTAGTATGTGTATGTATGAATGTAAGTTAGGGACCTTAGATTGTACACCCCTTGAGGGTTAGGGACTGATGTGAATGTACAATATATATGTAAGGCGCTGCGTAAATTGACGGTGCTATATGAGTACCTGTAATAAATAAACCCTGCACTAGAGTGCAGTAACTGCATGTGTTGCACTCAATTACAGGGCAACCCCCTTTCAGTTGAATTGGTTGTGACAGCAGGAATAATTTTTGCAGCCGCATCTGCCTTTGCAGCATAAGGGGGAGTGGAGGGATGGTGGTAAAAATGAAGCTCAGCCACGTGTTTTTACTGACCCCCAAACACAAGTGTAAATGAGGCCTTACTATTTGCTCCTTTTTTGGTCTGCTAAAATATTACTAAAGTGTTTAGTTACTGCATGTCTGTTTGATAAGAAAAAAACAATAGTGTTAATTTTTGCTGCTGCATATGCCTTTGAAGCATAAGGGGGAGTGTTTGGGGAAATAAAAACGCGGATCAGCCACATGCTTTTACCACCCCAGAAACACATGTATATGAAGCCATATTTGCACTTTATTTGCTCCCTTTTAATCCTGATAAAACAATACTAAAATGTTTTGTTATATCTGTTTGATAAGCCCAAAAAATATCGGTTGATTTTGATAGAAATTTGTAAGCTGATCACTTCCTGTATTTTCTGCCTGTGCCCAAGGAGGGGTCATGGAAATGCGGAAGGTGAAGGGGAGGATAAGCAGAGGGCTATCGCTGTGTGTGAAGCAGGCAAGGTTGACACCACATGCATAAGATTTTAGTGTTGTCATGTCAGGGAGGAACGAAGACGGACATACTGTATATTTCTGGCAGGTTCGCACAGTGATCGCAGCAAAAACGTCCCGCATTTTCAGGTGCCATTGAAATAATTGCTCATTTTCACAGCGCGTTTCTACCCGCAATTTGAAACGCCCTAGTGTGAATAGAGTCTTATAAAATTCCCAATTCTTTGTATTTGTTATTGTCTTGCTCAACTTATGTTAGAAGAAATATGTTTTTATGCTTTGTCCCTGGAAGCACATTTTTACCACTGTTTATTTATTTTTTTCAGGCTTTAGAAATCTGCACCTGGATGACCAAATGACCCTTCTGCAGTACTCATGGATGTTTCTGATGGTGTTTGCCCTTGGATGGAGGTCTTATAAACAATCCAATGGGACTGTGTTGTATTTTGCTCCAGATCTTGTCATTGATGAGTAAGTAATAAAGCATTTGGCCTTCATTAAATGTGCATGGTTAGCATTATTTACATGAAAGGGCTATCTAAAAACAAACCCAAGATGTGCAGTAGGAGAGAAGCTCTTTGTTTAAAACTGGTTCTGACATTCCTCTACAAGTTTGCATCAATAAAACATTTTCTGATTTGTTTACTTTTTTGTTTTTTAAAAAATGCAGTTGCAAAATAGTTCAAAACACAGTTTACATGGAAGAGTTACAAATTATGTTTGTAGATTTTGTTTAAGGGCGCAGATTATTTTTTTGTTTGTGCTGTAGGATGATTGGCAGGTTTTGCGCATTCAGTTTTCTAGACTACCTAGCTAGATAGGATTCTGGCATGTTTCTGCAGAAGGAGCAGGACACTACCCCATTTTTTTTTTTTTTACCACAAATACATGTATACTTTCTCATACAAGTCTTGAGAATAAAGTGTGGTAAAGGAACAAGTTATCACACGTAGCCTATGCTGATAAAAAAAAAATATACTTTTATGCGAGCAACCAAAATTGTGAACAGACCTCAAAGCTCACACCCCTGAAGGATAGATTATAAAGATCATATCAAACACTCCTGAAGCTCAGAGCAGAAATCTACATTTCAAAACCTCACTTCTATCATGTTTACCTTATAGGGCTACCATGAAATATCAAATTTATGGAAAAAAACCTATATATGACTCTTATGCAACCAGCTTCTTAAAGTTTTTTATTACAAAATTATAGACAAAGACACAAGTTAAATTCAAGGTATACCATCCACTTCATCCATAAGGACAATATGTTTATAGATCCTCCAGATAAAATTCAAAGAGGACAAAGATCACAAGAGGGCTCTTAACTAGCAGAATCTTCCAGGGATAATAATTGCATGCATGGACTGATATCAGCATTTTGGGGTGACATAACAGATCTGAAGGTACTGTATAGATGTTATCCAAGAAATGTAAACATTCCAAACATGAAGGAAGTCTCAATATGGATTTAGCCTGTAATCAGTGAAAGAAGGGAGTGTCCACACATAGACCTCTATAGGAACCACCAAGACCCATGTATATGGTAAACAGTATCCTCAGGTCTCCAAGTGGATTTAACCTGCGATAGATAGTAAACAAAATAGTACACAAAACTTTCTACAGGGACCACAAAGATAGCATATATGTTAGCTTATGAAACTCTGGATTAGTATGTAGAGGATTCTTCCTCAGCCTACCAATATTAGAAATTGCAGTCTACTCATAGGACTCTAGGCCCTTCTGAAGGAGGCCTTTCCCTTTTCGCAAGGCCCCTTCTACTTCTCACTTTACACCTCTGGGGTAAAGAAGTTTGTTTTTCTTACTCTGTTTCCCCTACTAATTAAAGGGTTTTAGAATTCTTTAAGTAATTTCTCTTCCTTTACTGTATACAAGGTAAAATGTTTATCATTTTATACCTGTCTACCTTCTTCTCCCTGTTATACACAAGTAGTGCCTCTTATCCTTACAAATTGTCCTTTGGCCGCACTCCTAACTGGTTTGCTCCAGACCTGTGCCTTACACCTTTGTTAAAGACCTGGACTTAGGTGGGTTAAACACTAGAAAATTTGTATGAAAATTTGCAGTACGTTGGCATGCCATTCGAAAGTGGTTCAAGCTTTCACCTGCATTTAAAACACAGCCACAGAACCCAGAAATGATATAAGTAAATGGTAAATCCTTTCTTTGGAGCACCCTCTAGGTAGCTTTCACACCTAATAAATTCCTAATGTCTTGGAACTCCTGCCATTCTGCTTGAGAATGGTATAGCACTACTACAAGTTTATCCTCCTTAATGGGGGGGGGGTACACTATTCTTGTTTTCATATAGGCAAAATCCTTTTTATTAGGGGTTTTTCCCAAAAGGACAGCCTTGGGGAATTCTCCTTCTGAGGGGTTCTTCTGAAGTATCATATGTCACGATCGCGGCGTCAGACCCCATACCTTCTCACCAAACTCGTGACGAAGGACTAGCCAATCTAAAACCGATGTGATGTGCGTAACAATGCCACACCCAGCTGCACCCTGCACAACGATTTTCCAGCTAATGGACCACAGATCGATGTACCAGCAGCCTGAGAGATTGTTACTGGGTCAGGTTAAATACACAATTAACCCTTCACACTGCCACCACCTCCTTTTTATACAGAGAAAGAGGAAACTCGGCAATATCAGCTATAACACTATAAAGATTGAAATAATCGTTTGCATAACATGGTCATTACACAGGCCTGTTATACAGAGGGTTAAACAAACAGTAGCGTCTCTTTAGAGGCAGGAATTCTTAAATTGCAATTAAGAGCGATAGAAACAGTTCAACACTTTCAGAAGAAAGATTTATTACTAAAAGGTCAAACAGGTGCAATAAAAATATTTACAGAAAAAAAGATGTACTAAGATATATATATATAAATATACAGAGAATAACAGCACGGCAAAGAGATATCAGAGAGAGGTGAAAGGGTTAAGGTACTTGCCAAAGTCCTGGGTTAGCAGATCCAAGTTTCAGAGCAAAAGGCAGGGGTCTTCCCAGGTGGTATTGATGTTAAAATGGGAGACGTCTTCAACTTACACTCTTAGGCCTGACAGCATATTTTGTAGTCCCCAGCAGGGGGTGTTTCTGAAATCAAGGACCAATCCCCGCTTAGGGCGTGAAGATATGGGTGGATGCCTCAACTAACGCAAAAATATCCCATAACTCATATTTTGGTCCATAACTGTCCATCTGCACAAGGGACATTCCACCCGCAGGGTAGATTATTATGCAGACAAGTCTAAGGATTAATTAGATGTGAATTATGAAAGTGTACACTGAACGGTCCACGAGATCTATTTTTCTGCTTTCCTGTGTTTCCGAGACAAGGCGAGTGACCCATCAAACTGTTCGCCTGCTCATCGTCCATCTGACGATTTGTTCGGTTTTTTTATGTAAGTCTCTCATATTCCAAGATATGAGACATAGGGGAAAAAATGGATTTGAGAAATGTTATCTGATTCTGTCACCTACACTGAGTTCGGTTTATTAGCTGGGAATCTCTTTCAACTCTTGGGAAAGCTGGCCTTATCTCTTCCGAGGTGTGAAATGGCACAGGTTCTTGGACAGCTGCCTCCCATTAGCACCAGCTGAGCAGGTTATCTACCTCAGAGGCCTACCCTCCTTTCAATCATGACCTGCTTTAATTATCTAGTATCATATACTAGAGATTATGTCCATTTAGGACAATGGTGGCTGCAGTTACACTGAATACTGAACATTCTGAGGTTGGGTTTGTCAACCCATGGTGTGTGGGGGAACTGTTGCACATGTTCCTATTGCCTGTGTTTTACCCACCCATCAAAATCATTTTCTTCTTTTACCTCTCCCCCTCTATTCACAGGAACAGACACAGTAGCAGGAGCCAGTGGCTGCTGTCAGTCAACTGCTGTGAGGAGGAAGCAGGGTGCAGAGACGAGCCAGGCTGTTTGTGTGTCAATGGACATACACACAGCCCAGCTCGGAATCAAGCCCACAAACCAGATACAGAAAAGGTGGAACTGATAGTGATGGTGGGGGGACCCCAGAAATGGAGTTCAGGGCCGCTTTGTGCAATACCATTGCACAGAGCAGATAAGTATAAGATGTTTATTTTAATTTAAAAATGCCTTAGAAAATGCTTTAACTTATAACTGCAGTTCCACTCTTGTAGTCCAGGTAAAAGCAAGTTTTGAACTAGTGCTGTAGGGACAGGTACACACATGACATTTATCTAATTGTAAGATTGACATCTTCCTGCATTTTAACTACAGTTCCTAGTGTGTTATGCTGTAAGTGGTCAACAGGATAATGTAGGCCTGTGACACATACCAAAAGTCTCTTTGCACTGACTGAATATTTACTGTTCTGAATGATGAGTGCGTGACTTTAGCATGATGGTTTACTTGTTTCCCTACAATCATCATATTGTATTTTAGAAGCTTTATAAATGATGGAATACCATGCTTGCACTTCTTGCTTGGCACATATCTGTACAGTAACGGGAATCTGATACTCTATACTTTAAGGTCAGTATTTCAAGGTCGGGACTGTAATTATTTTTGGCACAAATGCAGCATGACTCAGTAGACTTTTTTTCCTGCTGGTAATAATTTAATGGTCCTATCTTGTTATTGTGCTAATGAAGATCCCATGCTGTTTCCATGTAAAGCAGTTGCAAAGTTTTCACAATGCTTCCAATAAGTGTAAGCTAAACTCAACTCCTCCTGTCAGGGATGGCGGCGGCAAGTGACTCCGCGCATGCACGGAGCACCGATCCATCCGATCCGACGGACTTTGAGACCTGTACGGCAGCGGCCGCGCATGCGCACTCGCGATCGTGGCCGCTCGCCCGGCACCAATAGCAGGGCAGGGCGCACTATTTAAACCTGCCCTGCACTAACACCCATTGCTGTATGGTCTCTTCTCTGTTTTCCTGTGATCCTAAGATTTGCTGCTGACCCTGCCTGAACCTGACCTCCGCTGACTTCTCCTGCTCTGATCCCCTGGCTAGTCTGACTTCGCTTCTGCATACTCCATACCTGATCAGAACCCCTGTTGCCGACCCCTGCAAGTGACCTGACTATTCTTCCGCCTGCTGCCTTGTACTACGCTGACCCCTCTGTTACTGACCCGGCTCGTTGACCACGCTTACTACTCTGCCATCCATCCATCCCGCTCGGATCCAGTCTTCCACCTCTTCACATCAGGCTCTCTACCTGCATATACCTCTGGCGGGTCCCGCTGCCACAGACGGGGGTACTCAGGGGTCGCGACCTGGTCCTTGTCTGCTCCAAGCCCATCCCCACCATCAGGGGCTCTGGTGAACAAGCAGACTGGGGCTTAGACTCCGCGCCCTGGGGAAACCTGTCCTGTGGACTGCTAGGGGCCCCGCTAGGTGGTTTATAACACCTCCACCTTATATACCACATACAATGTTTTTTTCCAGAATGTGT